AATAATAATAATAATAAAAGGTCCATAGCTATGTGTGTACACACATACTATACAGGCAATTATCACACTCCTTGGAACAGGCAGGAACAATGAATGCTTGATGACTTCGGCGCTCGTGCACTGAATCGAAAGCCTTGCTACTATTTTCTTCCCACTATCCCGTCTTGTCCGCCACCTTTCTAGAATCCATTGCAACTCTAAGACAACGGGAGGGGAACTGACAAAGTTGAGGACCATCACCATACACTCGCGAACTAAAAACTTTTTCTGTCTGTTCAACCACCACTGTAGAAAACAAAACAAAACAAAACAACAAACTGTTCTTTGGGTTGGGCATTTTAGAACCTAAAAATGCACGATTCATCGCTCGCTCACTATGTACTATACCAATTCATAGTGATTTATCAAGTGTTTCACCTGTTTAAACTAGGCGAAGTAAGATCCAACTTGGTGTTAATTAATAGACGCAAGTAGCTATTGCTTATATCACTCGCCCGGAGTCAACGACTTTAGTTAACCGCGGCCGTGCCTGGAAACCGCTGTTTCCATGTCAAAAGAAAACCAGAATAAGGCACAATTCTGCGTTCCCAGTTTAGCAGAAAGTCAATTGTTGACTAGCTTAACGGAGAAGAAAACCTTGGTGGCTAGCAGACTTCTGGAGCCCCGAGCAAGGATTTGGAACGGGACAATTAAAGGAAAACTGACGGAGAAAGTAGGTGGCCATGATAAATCTGGGGCCGTAAGCATGAGGTGACGGAAGGTGGGATGGGGAGAGGCCTCCTTGCCAACTTGCCTCACGACTTGCAGCCATCGAATCGAAGACCAACCAAGAGAGAGAGAAGAAGATAGATAGGGAAAAAAGCCAACAAGGAGGAACAAGTGACACGAAGGGGCTTTAAAATTAACGATCCGTTGGAGGAGGCCATCGCAAGTAGCTCTTCTTTATGCCGCAAGTCGAGAGAGAGGTCGCACGGGACGCGTACAAGTGTTTGCAATTGGATCCCAAGCCACCTCTTGGCATTTGCCGACAGTGGAATTAGCTAGCGGATGTACACGATGGGTTCGGTGAGGATATACAGAAATACATTTTGGGACCATTCGTGCACGTCGGATATGATGATTTGAACCAATTCATGATGGGGGCATCCATCATGTCCTTGTAACTTGTAAAGCGGAGACGGTTCCCTGCAGTTGAAGAAGTAGGATCGATGTCGGGTATGACTTCGATGCACGCTTTCAAGCGAATGCGCCATGGCAATCTGGTGTCCCTTGCGCTGCAAGGATGCTTCTCATACCAAAACAAAATAAATAGCGCGAACGAGCACTCATCTCATCCATCTCTGTGAACCCCCATTCTCAGTTCTCGTCATCATCCACTGCTCAGGGAAACACATACGCCAATCAAGACCACAAAAACAGAACGATAAGAAAGAAGCCCAGACTTGTAGCGCATTACAACCAACATCTTTTTCGGCTTTTGTATAAACAAACTAAGCTAAGGCATTTCATCCACGACGGCTTCTTCTGTGACTAAAAAGGAGAGGGAAAACAAAAAACAAAAACGAAATAGAAACAAGTTGGGAGGAGTTTCTACAAAGTCTTCCAATGTTTGATTAGCTCGGCAATAATAAATAGCACGGCAATGCCGTCGTCTCCTTCCAAGTGGGCATGCAAGAGGGACGGTGGTGGTGGTGGTGGTGGAAGCCATGGGAGGCTTGGGAGAGCAATTTACTTTGTTTCCCGCGGGCACCTGGCCAGGTTCTCGACGGTGCCCGCCAGCGAATGGAGGTTGCAACGGACGATGGTGTCGACGAAGACGCGCGTGTCCTCCCTAGTATTCCCTGCCGGCACGTCCACCACGTACGACTCCACCACCACCGTGCCGTCGTCCCCCTCCGGGTGGAGGCTGGTCACCGAACGGTAGTTGGCGAGGCGGTGCTCCCCGCCGACCACCCGGAAGCTGAGCACGTGACGTTCGTCGTCCAGGATCTCCAGGCGCTCGCGGCTGGTGGCCGCCGGCAGGCCGGACACGACGCGGACCTCCCGCAGCGTCCCGACGTCGCCGTCGCCGTCGATCACGTGGCAGCTCTTCACGAAGTGCTTGTAGGCTTGCGGCTGGTCGAAGCGCCGAACCACCGACCACACTGTGGCAACCGGCGCCGCGACGTGCTGCACCAGGGCCGAGCAGCACTGGTGGGCCCCAACCGCGTGCTCGTGGTGTCGCGAAGTCACGTCAGGTACGCCATGGCCTATGCACCGCACCGAGGCGCCGACGGTGGCGGTCATCGTCGACCCCGGCTTGCCGCCGATGCGGTGCAGCGGAGGGGACGGCTTGGAAGAGGAGTGAGGCATCGCAGCTGCCTGAAAAAAGACGATGATATACGAGTGCTTTAATTTGGTTTTGATTGCGGGGGTGTTGAGAGGGATAGAAGAGGGGGAGACTGATATAGAGTGTGTGTTGGAACCCGAACTCCCTCTATCGAAGTGCAAATTGCTTACCATTTGATGGTTACTGAAGTGCAAATTGCACATATTATTTATGCACCCAATGCGACCAAATGGCACTTGAAGGGGTGTTTTGGTCTGAGCATCCAATGGGCTGTGGAGAGGAAAGTTGGAGATGGAAGGGGTGATGAAAGCGGGAACGATGTCGTTGGGGTACTGCAACAGAAAAGGAAAGACGGACGGAAAGAAAGAGAAGGTCAGCAAGTTGATACCTCCGTAGCCTTTGATTTGCATATTTGAGGCCCCGCACAATTTGATATGTCCATTGTGAATTAAAATCTCTCAAGTAGATAGCAGAGAAGACGGTCGACGTATGAATTAAGAATCCCAAATCGGTGTTTCGGTCCTTCAACCACGGATCAAAATATTTAAGTGAGAATTATCATAATATACTCATCAGGCTCATATAAGTCAATCATATTCAAGGCTCATATAAGTCAATCATATTCATTGCCCACTTCTAACGTGGGATTAATGGAATTTTACATATTTTGACAATGATGTTTATATATCTAAATTGGGACAAGCCAAACATCCTTTTACATTTATCTCTTAGGAAATATTCATTAGGATAAAATCTCATGATTTTTTAGAAACTAAATAAACTTTATATCGTAAGTACAAACTTTTTAAACTTAATCTAAATCTATTTGCAATCAAAATTAGCCCTCCATCATTTTTCTCTCTCTCTCTTTTAATTTTCTATCTTTCATCTTTCCTTCTTATATGTTCTCTCTCTTTTAGCCCTCCTCGTATTCTTCTTCTGTTCTCACAGCCGATACCGCCCTTTTTCTCTTTCCTTTTCCCTTTTTTTTTCTTTCTTTTCTCGCTTCTCTTCTCTTTCTCGTTGTTTTCTCTTTCCTTCTCTTTATATCTTTTCTTTGATCCCTTCTCTTCTCTCTTTATTTGTCACCGCAGATCCCCCTCTTCGTGATCCTCCCTCCCTCTCTCTCTCTCTCCCTCTCTCTCTCTCTATCAATCTCTTTCCTTCTTCTCTATTCCCTTAGTTGTTTAAAATTTAATCCCTACAATATTTATATTAATAAATAAATAAATCATCAAAAAATAGAAATTTTATAGTCTAATATATACATTATATATGGTAGAAAGGCATTTTTTATTTTTTTTGAACTTTGATATAAATTAAATTAAATTATTTTTTGATTGAACCATATATAATTTATTTTAGCGATTTGCATTGATATATTGATCGATCGTCGATAGATATGTATCAATAAATGTATCATCCATATTGATTTTTTATTGAACTAATATAAATAATTTGTATTGGATGATGTGTCACGGAACGATTGACGGTGAAATAGTGAGAGCAACATTATCTTTGTATTTGCGAAATGCTTAGACTCGAGTTTCGATGAAAAGATCCATACGGTGTATGTGTGAAACTCTGCTTCTGGACGTGACACTATTTTTTTCTTCCTGACTTAATATTCTCGTTCTGACAGGCAGCAAATCCTGATTGCCTGCATCCGGATCTGTTCCAAGCTCTAATTTACTGTTTTATTATTATTATTATTATTATTATTATTGGACTTGATAATCTCTAACATTTCGGAGTTGTATAAATAATATGTAAGCTTTGTCACAGACGAAGAAGACAAGCAAGTCGACACCGCAAATGAACTGTAGTACCAGATTCCGAGGGGGAGATTTTGCCCACTCGATGGATGGAGGCGGGGTGGCCTCGTGAAAGCCGTCGGAGGAAGTCGGGCCCCTCGAACAGGACGATCGATCGATCGACTTCTCCGCGGTAGTCAGTGGTCGGTGGCCGCGAACACGAAGCTTCCTCCTCCTTCACCACTGCATCCCACGTGGGCACGTGTGCCCGAGCTCGGACGATTGCGTCCCGTGTTCGTTCGGTCCTTCGATAGGCGGCTCACAAGTCGTGGGTGGATCCATCCATCTTATTGCTCAGTGGACTTGGAAACACGGTCCAAGTTGTTTTGCGGATACCATTCGGTTTCTCAAGTGCTAATTAAGAATTATTCCCCTCAAGTAGGGTTTACGAATTATAGGGATTTTGGTAAGACGGTACTGAGTGCAGTAATTAGATTATTTATTTCATCAAGTGCTTGCTTGTATCACCTTCCTGCACAGGCATTCGAACCCTCTCTCTCTCTACTGCCATCTAGACGAGCGTGGTAACCAATGTCGGGCGATGGATGGTTCAATGCACTGAAGGTTGACGACGACTGCTATAACCAGTTGCTTCTATGCCATACCAAATCTCGTAGCAAGGGACAAGAGTTCTATCCGAAGAAACTAATGAAAAGAAGTCTTGGTGGGTCGGCGACGGGGATTGTTACTAACTATGTTAAACTTAGGATGGTGTGCACCACCGGAAATGGCAGCTAAATCCCAGCATTAGGGAAAGTAAGTATTTTGGATGCGTCTCCTTGCAAACTTGCATACGAGACCATTGGACGGCCGGGAAGATGCGGTGCCAAGCCTTATCGTTTGCTCTATTATGCAGGATTAGCGTGGACTTAACTAAGGAGGCTTGTTGTAGGGAATATTGTACTACTTACTCATCATGCACGTCCTCCAGGAAGAGTTTTAGTTGACAGGAACTTTTAATTCTCCAGTCAGGAAGAAGATAAGGGTCGAAGCAGCAGCACCACCACCAATCATTTGGGCAAGATATCCTTCCTATTCCAATAGGGATCGGCACCCGAGTCTCCACATACATCATCGTCCACAAGAGAATGATCGCGAGTGAAGAAAGGGACGTTGTCAGACAAATCGAAGCCTAGAAGAAGAACATGATCGGGAGGTGCATTTGTGATTTTGTTTATCTAGTACTCAAACAAAGGTTAACATTTATCTATCTATCTATCTATCTATCTATCTATCTATCATGCCAGCTCTGTGTCATACATACACTCGGGGATGGGTACACCATTCATTCTATAATGTGGCCCTTTTTTGTCGTAACGCAGCACAGCATGGCCTTCAGCTTTAGTTTACGGCGAGTTCCAGTGGCGAACATCTATATAACCCTCAGCAGGCTCACAGCAGGAAGCGACGCATGAGGGAGGGGGAAGGGGGGATATTATTAAGTCGAATAAGAAGAAGAGAAAGAGACGATGGGCAACAGCCTCAGGTGCTGCTTGGCTTGCATTCTTCCCTGCGGCGCGCTGGACGTCATCCGAATCGTCCATCTCGATGGCCAAGTCGAGGAGTACAGCAGCCGCCAGGTCTCCGCCGGAGAAATTCTAGCAGCCAACCCGGACCACATCTTAAGCAAGCCGTGCTCTCAAGGCGTCACCACCAAGATCTTGATCGTGTCGCCGGACTCGGACCTGAAGAGGGGCCATATCTATTTCCTGATTCCAGAATCAGCGCTCCCAGGAAAAGAGAGGAAGAAGAGGCACCAGAAAAGTGGCAGCACTGCTGTCGTCCAGGAATTGGGCCATGACAGCTGCCTGAGGCAGGTCCTTTCGGAAAAGAAGGTTCGGCACCGCCGGCGGAGGAGCGGCCAGGTGGGCGTCTGGAGGCCGCGTCTTGAGAGCATATCAGAGGACTGAATGAACGAAGAACAAGACTTTGGCATCCAAGTGTCGGTGGGTCGTAGAGGCTTCATAGGGTGACAGTTTTTTTGGTGGTCTCTCAGTGCTGATCGCGCGCTGACTTTTGGTTACTTGTTCCCAATTTTCTTTTCTCTCTATTTCCTATGTAGATATAATCGTTGCCACCTTTGATTTTTTCCTGCCACTTGATGAAAAAGAAAAAGTGGAAGGAAGCTGTGAATCCTTTTGTAATCTATTCTTCAGAGAGAAAAAAGACACATCAGTTGGAGCAAAATGGGAAAAGAAACGTGAACCAGTATAGATATCACATTCAAGAGATTAAAAAAGAGTCAAATCCATGTCACGAAACCATCCCATTGCAAAAGCGTGAGATGTTAAATTGAGCTGCCGACAGTATTCCTCAGCAGATTCATTCAACATATATTTCTGGCAACATATCACTTACTAAAGAGTAACTGAAAACATTTTCTTCCAAAAGAAAGCTATTGCATATATTGCCACCAAACATAATCCTATGCTTGATGCACAAATCGTATGCATCTAACATTAAAGCAGCGCTGCTACTCTTTCATTCTCTTGGGAAAAAGAAATAGCCAAATCATACCTCAAAAAGATTAAATAGTCATCAGAGAGGAATATTTCCACCTTCAAGTTAGATCATACCTCAAGAACTGCTACTCTTGATTACCAAGACCGTCTACAAACTCTGGAGTGGGAGCCCAATACCGTAGTTGATAAGATCAACTTCTTTGCAGCCTTCAACGAGCCTTCAACAGACTACTGTCTTTTTCAGAGTAGATAGTTGAGGTGGCATTGTTACTCGGAGGCCCATACAATTTGTTTGATGGCTATAGGACAGATCTGAAGGTTTTTAATTTTTTGATTGGAAATACATGGGAACATGACTGCTCTTCTCAAGTATTAAGTCAATAAACACAAAATATATGGTAACCGAGTGCATGCATCGTGGCTTATGGTAACATATTGGAGTTCATCACGATGCAGCAAGTAGCCCTTAAATCACAAATGTTCAGTCTGCAAAACCTAAGCAATTAATGTTATTGCATATCAACTGGTCAATGATTGCACACAGAGCACGCAAGCAGCCTGATCTTAGATTTGGTTTTCAGGTTTCATCTCCTCGACATCTGGAATAGATTGATTGTCAGAATTATAACTCTCTCTCTCTCTCTCTCTCTCTCTCTCTCTCTCTCTCAGCACATTTGATTACTGAGCTGCAGATTTCCCTATATAAGAAACAGAGATGCAATATATAATACCAAGGCTTGTCAGCTACAGCTAATTGATTCCTTTCTAGTTTATAGTTAATTATAGCTCGAAATCATCTTGTCAGCAGAGAATCTTTAATATAAGAATGCAAAAAAGCTTGTTTTTATGTGGTATCAGGTGCATCCATATAAAAAATCTTTGTGACAACTAAGAAGTGGGTTGATGGATCTGGCATATTTTCTTAATCATTTTGAAATTTAATGTTCTTAAGCTAGCTGTCAGGCTAAAGTCTCGGTGTGTGGATTTATTTCTTTATTCATGTCAACCAAAAAAATGTTGTCCAAATAGCTGTCAGGCTATGTTCTCAGTTTGTAGATTAATCATGTAGCAGTGCCCAAAAAAAGCCAAAACTTATGCTGACAAAACTAGATTATCAATTACTTCTACAACAGCAAAAATTAAGCATTAAAGAAACGTTTACCAAAAATATGACTGAGCTGGTACCACTTCCGTACTTGATATGAGGTGTGAAGTATTTCGTATTTCCTGCATCAAGATTAGCTTACCATGTACTAAACAAAGATAGGTAGTACCTAAATCCCATTTATCTGAATTTTAGGTACCGACAAAATAGGCTGGGTTAGAAAAAGATATTCATAATTAGTATTTCTAGCAAGATAATTTATTTGAAAGAAATTAAATTAAAGAAAAAATTTACATCCTGTTGACTAGGTCCCTTGACTGTAATTGTGTCCCATTGGCTGGTGCTACTTCAGTGTGAAAGGGTTCATATGAATGTCCCGAAGTCTTCCTCTGCAAAATTTTCTCCTCCTAAATGGATCTCTTGCAACAACAAAAGAAAAAAATTATTCATGTACCATTTTCATGGGAGTAGATTTGGTATGTCATGGCTGTATCTTCATCCAGCAAGCGTGGACTCTCAAATACAGTCCCAGTGCAGACCAATAACTTTTGGTGAGTTGGAGCAATTCTCCACAAAAGAAGCTACAATTGTGGTAGCACATGGTGACAGATGAATGAGGAGTCCGCATATTACCCTTAAAATTGACCATGACTTTCTTGTCCACTTGAACATGTTCGTAGCACATTTCATGTGAAAGTGGGACACATGCCCCAGTGTTAGTTAGGTGTGGCTCACCGTGTTAATGATTCAGGGTTAAGGGGAAAAGAATATCTCTCGCTAAAACACAGAGGAAAACATGTTCCTAAATTGTTAACATGACAGTGCAGCAACTTTCCTGAGGTTTAATACTTTCAGTTGTAGATGAGATTGGTGACTTATTTATTATCACTATGGCTTACTTCATCATAGGATGCATAGGATCTTGATGGAAGGAAGAGGCACATTCAGCTGGTAGAGGCTTATGGGCATCCTTGAACCCTGAAAACCCTATACATGGAGAAAAGAAAGATGCAACAGTGCGAACAGAGGGAATTTTCTAGTCTATGTTTAGATGACAGATGGAAATATTCACTTTAGAACAGGTTCGGGGCACTTGGGATGTGCAAAAAATTATTCAGACTTGTCAAACATATGGATTGTCTAAAAGCAAAAATGTAGGGGAAAAGATGGCCATGAGCAGTTGTAGGCTGTCATAAGACCAAGAAACAGTTTGAACATACTCCTGGTTGATTTGCCACATTTTATTCTGGTGTAACAGGATGCCTTTTGTTAAGATACAGCTTTTTGAGAGAAAACATATGCTCCATTACCCAACTAATACTGGTAAGATGCCTGTGGTCCAAAAAGTTAATTGAACAAATATGTGCTTTCAGCAGTTCTAGCAATTGCAGCTAAAACCATGTGGCATGTAAATGACACAAAAACACAAAGGAAATAACAAATGATAGGACTGCATTTATGCAACAAGGAGTTAATGCAAAAGAAGAAATATATTGCCTAGGTTTAGTTTACATAAGGTTGCAGAATAAGACTAACCTGTGTAAAAAATTATCTTCTCTCTGGTTGGTTGTTCTCATATGCTTTTTAAAATATCAATGGAGCATATCTCAAAAATCCACTTGTCTTGAAGTATACCAAGTTTGTTGATCCTTTATCATCATATTAATGTACCAACATCAGTGGGGAAATTAAACAATTATCCATATAAGATACTGTATTTGCAGAAGCCATAACTTGGATTAGATTATGATGATCTTGTTCACAAGCCATAACTTCATAAGCCATAAGCTAACATAACTTCCATCTCACCGTTACCTTGTTTTAGATTATGATGATCTTGTTCACCAATAATCATTACATGAACAGGAGCCATCTTTAAAACAGTGGAATCTGTTGTTGTCTCTAACTACAATCTCACGGTTAGTAATGTCTGAAAAGAGCTTTATTGCTGCATGACAATCGTTACAAACACGAAGGTTCTTCACTACTCTGATTGTGTCTTCTGGTCCCATACTGATCAGACCAAAAGCAATAGCCAGTTTTTCACTATGATGCCCAAGTGAATGCTCTTTCTCTTCCTCTTCTATGTCAAACAAGACCACTTCTGTTGTTGGCATGTACCCTCTTTGCTTTAACTTCCTACCCAACTCATCAAGCTTAGAGTAAATCTCATTAGACAGTGGGTGGGATATGTCCCCTACATGGAACTCATGAACCACACCTTTTAGCTCAACCCAACTACACCCAGGTGTCTTTTGTATTCCTTTCTCCTTCATGACCAACCTTAGTCTTGCAGAGTCATTCCATCTCTCAGTTGTAGAGTATATATTAGATAGCAGAACATAATTCCCGGAATTTTGTGGCTCTAACTCAATAAGCTTCTTCAACACGTGCTCGGCCAGTTTGGTATCACGATGCAACTTGCAGCCACCCAGCATAGCTCCCCAAACAACAGCATTAGCCTCCATAGGCATCTCATTTATCAATTGATAAGCCTCATTTAACAATCCAGCACGGCAAAATAGATCAACGATACAACCATAGTGCTCAACTCTAGGTGTCAAGCAGTAAACCCTACTGATGCTGTCAAAGTACCGCCGTCCATCTTCCACTAGTCCAGTGTGTGAACAGCTGCAAAGAAGGCCTATGAAAGTATTCCCATCGGGTTGAATGCCCAGCTTCTCAGTCTGAGCGAAAAGCCCAAAGGAGAGCTTCCCATGGCCAGTCATGGCGAGACCAGATATCATTGCATTCCAAACTATAAGGTCTTTTTCCATTATCCTCTTAAAGATACTCCAAGCTCGAACGATACTTCCACATTTGGCATACATATCAATCAGTGCTGTCCCTAGTACTGGGTTCATAAGGAAGTCACTCGCATCCATTAATTGGCTTGCCTGTTGACCTAGTTCAAGGGCTCCTAATCTGGCACAAGCCGAAAGCACTCCAACCATGGTATAGCAATCCGGTCTCACATTAGTATTCTGCATTTTGAAGAAAAGCTCTAAAGCCTCTCGAGGAAGCCCATTGGAGGAATACCCACAGATCATTGCACTCCAGGACACAACATCCTTCACAACCATCTTGTCAAAGACAGCACGAGCCTTCTCCATGCTTCCACATTTAGCATACATGTTGACTAGTGAAGTAGCAACAAACACGTTGTTGTCTATGCCCTTGTCCTCTGCATATCTATGTATCCATTCCCCAGTCTCCATATCCCCTAAATGGGAACAAGTAGTCAGTATCCTGACCAAAGTGAAACCATCTGGCACCAAACCCATATCCAACGAGCTTCTGAACATGTTGAGCGCCTCTTCCAGCTTTCCACCACCAATATAACCACTAATGATCGAAGTCCAAGAAACAACGTTTCTCACGGGCATATCCTCGAACAACTTGTGCGCAGTATTCAATAAGCCGCATTTTGCATAAAAGGAGACCAAGCTGGTCTTCACAAACACATCTACCTGATGCCCTGTTTTTATAACGTGTGCATGAATCTTTGTCCCACCTTCAAGGAATTGAAGCCTAGCACAGGCCTTGAGAACGAAAGGAAATGTGAAGTTGTCCGGAGACGGGCCCCACCGCCGCATAGTGGCATAGAATTGGACGGCATCTTCCGTTTGGTCGACGGAGACGAGGCCGCGGATCATGGCATTCCAATGGAAGATGTTCCGTGGATGGTCGGCAGCATGGAAGAGGAGGCAGGCGTGCGAGGGGTGGCCGGCGTCGAAGTAGGAGGCGAGGAGGTGGTAGATGAGATGGGAGTCTTGGATGAGGCCGAGGCGGAGGGCGCGGGCATGGATGGGCTTGGGAGGATGGCATCGTTGAGGGAGGAAGAGAAGGAGGAGTTGCTTTAGCTCGGACGACTTGGACGGGAGAGGGACAGAAGGGAATGGGAGTGGGCGGCAGACGAGGGCAGCAGCCATTACCCCTCCCACATTTAAATGACCGGGTCGTAATACCCCCTGGCCCTGGGGATATATACTATATACAACACATCGTCTTCTCTGCAGAATTCTTCACCAAAAGGTAGCCTCGCAAATATATAATTGGGAGGAGCATTTCTATTCCTCTAGAAGAAGAAGAATAGAAGAAATAAATAAATAAATAAAAGAAAAGAAAACAAGGCTGTCGATCTCTAAACATCCAAACACTATCACGGCGTCGAAGGTTTGCACGACTAAATCATGATGGAGTCTAAAACCTGCCAAAATTTCCCCGCTCGCGACCACATGCTGCAAGGGGGACACAAAAGTGAAAAGGTTGAGAGAACACTAATTCGGAGCCTCAAGCTTTATAGCCTGCTTCAAGCTCCGTGCGATACCCATGGAAAAGATCTAAGTGATATCAATGTTTTAGCCAAATCCTCCAAGCAAAGCAAGGAATGCCTGCTCTTGCAGATCAAATACTACATTTATAAACACGTTGACCAGAAAGTTCAATTTTAGCACAAAATTAGTCAAACGAGCTTTTGCAACAGTCTTCGTCTGATTAAGAACATTAAAGACTTGGAAAATCCCAAGTGACTACGAGAACAGCAACCCTTCCATTCATCATTTTATGGTTTACATGCATACATACATTCATCATTACATACATACATACATACACACACAACATACATACATACATACATACATACATATACACACACACACACACATATAGCTGGCATAAGATAACTGCCGAATACAGATGAAAAAGTAGAACAAAAGAAAGGGAATAGTATATACTATATACATGATAGTATAATTTGAGTGGAATAAGGGCCTCCTGTCAGCATTACGTTGAAGCTTAAGTAGACTTGCTGACATTAATATAGCCATGCTCTCGTGCAACTACATCTTGCAGAATCAAGCCATATGACGTACAAAACGAGCATACCTCATCTAGGAGAGAACAACAATTTACAGGAAACAGTTGGTACTCAACAATCACTCCAGCTATCTCCACCGTCCTCTTCATCACTTCCCGCAATTACCTATTTCAAGGAAACATACATGATAGATTGGCCGAAGAACAAACGAGCAACTTTACTATTTACGTATCTGTCTATTCTATAGACCAACCTGGCGGATTGCATTTGCTTTCTCCAAGATGGCAGCAACTTTAATGTTCGCTGGATGACCCTTACTGTTTGGCTTTGAAAGAACTGCTGGCTTCAGGCTGTAAGACTGATTAACAACAAGTGGTCTCTTTGAGCATTAATCGAATATAAGTCTCTAAAGTGGGAAAAAATCTTTAAATTGTCGCATAGCAGTCCAACCTTGTTTCTTATCTGCTCCAGTAATGCATCTCTTTCATTTGCCTTAGGCTTATCGGAAGGCTTAACAATCTCTGATACCTTTCTCAACTGCAAAATATTAGACTCCAGCAATGGATCCTTTTTATCTGCTTTTGACTCATTCGAAGGCCTAGCCAGCTCCGGTACCTTCCTTAACTGCAAGATATTAGATGAAGAGAATGGGGAGACGTTAAAAAATGCAACGATCGACACTTGCCAGCGTATAAATGTAGAAGGAAGCAAGCCTGTCACCACACAAATATTACCGTGCTTCTGTCATGAGCAGCAACAGCCTCTATCAGTGGATTTCTGGGACGGTTTCGTATGGAACAGGGTTTAATACTAAACCAATCATCTTCTGTTGTAGGTACAAAACCAAAGAGGGTGGACTGATTCCCTTCCAAAGAATATACCAAGTTAGGCTCAGGTACAACACCTGAAGAGAATGAGAGCTCTGATGACTCTAGAAGGTGCATATTTACACTGCCAAAGCCCCCATAATTACGGTGATGGTTAGCATCTCCTAAAGCAGATTCAACCAAGAAAGGATTCTGAGGCTCGACTGTCTCCTTTTCCAAATTTAGGTGACTGAGATCAGAATAATGAGGCTTCACCAACCCTAATCCTGAGCACAGTTGACTAAGTTGAAATCTTTTATCTGACATCACTTGAATCTTCTCTTCCTGTGATGTGGAATCCTGAGAGATTTGGTTTTCCATTGTTGCAGATGGTGTAAATGTATCTACAAGAGATAATTTTAGTCCATCCTGTGTGTCGCAAGCACACCGACTCATCTCATACTCCGAAGATGACGATATTGACGAAGACGCATTTAATGAATGCACAATTGCATCCCCTAAGGATACATGCTGATGGATCTGATCAACAATAATTGGTGGCAATTCAGACGAACCCAATGGTGGTGCAGTAGGTAAGTTTGCTGGTTTGCTGTCCGATAGTGCCATAAATGTTTTTGTTCTAGCCAGAGATTGAGATGAATTTTCAATTGGTAATAGATGGCTCAACGGAAGCTTTCGAGATATCCATTCAAGAGGGGGAAGTGGTGGTTCTTCAGGATTTTGCATGGGGTAGCTGGAAGTTGGTTCATCTGACTGTGGCTCATGGGATAATCTGGATGCACTCTCAGTAACAGTCACATCAGAACTTGACACCAGCGAAAACATCATATCTAATACATTGGAAACAGCATAACCTGAAGAAACTTCAGGAGGACTGCCTTTTGATGAAACAAGGGCTTCTGTACACAGTTTACCAACCATGCCTGCATTTGGCAGCTCATCCAAATCATTGTCCTTTCCATTGTTCACAAAAGCACGATAGTTTGGTTCATATCCATCTGAGGGTTTATCATCAATGTCAATAAAAGGAATGCCAAACTCAAGATATTCACCCTTGTGATGCAAAGATTCTGATTCTACTTTAACTTCATCACCAGCTTGTGACATAAAGACTCCAGGTAAACTTGCAGGATCAGATACTAAAATGCCGGTCAATAGAGTTGTCTGATGTTTTTCACTTCTCTGACAACCTTGTGCAAAAGATTTTGAACCAAGGTCTGGTTCGCTTTCCATAGGATATTTTAGATGTGCATCATGAGTACAAGTTTGCAGATATGCTTGGACATGCTCAGCTGGCACCATGATGCCTATGTCTCCAAGGAATCCAGCATCATTTGCATTAAATGAATGTTTAGCAGACATTCCAGAGCATGAAACACCAGGGTCTAATGCTGATTGTCCTGCCTCTGAAGTAACTGTCATGTTCAGAGTGTCCGCCTTACCCAACATTTTCACCTTCTTTGGACTATTTATTTCACGAGTCTTTAGTTGATGTCCATATGAAACAGAGGTACTAGTAGTACTATCCTCTAGCAACTGTGACCGAAGGCCAGATGCCTCTTGAGTATACATCAAGGAAGGATCATAACTTTTAGCTTCATCTTTAGACGGAAAATTTTCAGCTGACACATTATCAATGTGAATAATCTGTTCAATCTCTTGAATGTTCTTCTGAGGGTTGTTTTGATTAAACTCATTTGGATATTTCAAATGATCAAGAAAAAACATGGGAGAATTCATGACCCTATTAGAAATTGTTTCACTTTCAGAACACCAACGCACCTGTTCTTCTGAGTTCATTATGGAAGATTCTTGAGTTTCCTCTGCTGAGCTAACCCTGGGGGACTCTTGAGATTCCTCTTTGTTAGCAAGAAACTCCAACTGCAGTTGCCGTGTTTCAGGCAATTCAACATTGTTTTCTGCCACTCTGTCAGCATCTTTGAAGCCAACTTCTGATCTTGAATAAGATAGATTTTCAACAGCAATTAGATTTTCCATTTCCGTCAAGCAATCTTTATCATTGATGGCAACAATAGCAGAAACAGAAGAGAAAATGGTTTCAGTTGAATCTACTTCTGCATCTTGATTCATCGAATCTGTTCTCTTTCCTATGGTTACATTTGAAAGATGTTGGGGAACTTCAATATAACATGCAAAATCTTTTGCAAGACTACTCTCATGCTTCGTGTCTGAAAGATGATCAGATGTGTCGGGTCTCAGAGACATCTCTTCAGACATTTGCTCAACAGGATTATGAGTGAGATGAAGGCTTTCAGAAACATTGTCATCTTTAGTCTGGACAGATGAGCCTGCCATTTTGAATAACCCAAAAGATCTTCAGTCAGATTGCTAAAGTTCCAATGTATCTGCCGAATACCAAATTGTGGTTTGCTAAAGAAAAATAAAAATCATAGATCTCTGCTACAGTTACTAACTTACCATTCATATTTTGGGCCACACCATCAGTTCCCTTCATATAATCAAAAGATGTTTCTGTGTTTGTTTCTTCAGGATGCTGACCTTTGTTTGTGTCTGCAGCTAATTGGTGATGCTGCAAATCCATGCCAGTGTCAGGGACAAAGGCGACGATGGATGTTAAGCTGCTCCCACCTGAATTAGTTACTGTACCTTCTTCTGAGGCAAAGGTTTCAATATCTTGATCCAACGAATGCTGCATCTCTTTTGCTGTGGGCACAGTGGTAACCAATGAATATTCATTGCCAAAATCATCCATGGAAACACTTCTTATTGGTGAACAGGAAAGATCATTGGGCATTTCAAATGTCTCCATCATGTCTTTTAAAATTGGCTCATCCACGTGCTCTGCATGATGAGGTTTTGCAGGAGAATTGCTTCCCAAGTAAGTTGAACCTGTCACATCAAATAATTAAAACAGAAAATATGTCATGGTTGTCAATCTGAATAAGTATTTGCTTGACAAGTAAAAAAGATAAAACTACCATCCAAGCATTTTGTTGTCTCATCTGTTCCTTTGGCGTTAAGACCAGCTAAAGCATCATTCGGGAGAGCAGTAACTAATTTCTGTGCATCAAAACTTTCTTTAGGATCAATGTTAATGAGACTAGAAGTTGATTTAATCACAAATGAACTGCAAGATTCATCTTTGATATCTAAATTCAAACCATCAAATGTCTTCCTGTTGCTAGCTTCATCAGACTTGGGTTCAGCTGAATTGACAACCTCATCATGTGGCAAAATCTCTTCACAGCTTTTATCATTGGTCTCACCATGAAGTTCTGAGTTCATAGAAGAATTTGAGGAAACTACCATCGGTTGAGTTGCTGGCATCTCATCTAAATTACTTAAAGTATCTAGGTAAGGAATACTTGACATTCCACTCTTCGGAATGTTGTTCAAGTTCACTGACACGGCAGAGAGGCCAGCAGAA